TCCTGCACACCTCCTACTGGGGATGTGCCCGCAACCAAGGTACATGCCCTTGACCGGAATCGAACCTGGGACCCTTCAGTCCGCAGGCCAACGCTCTATCCACTGAGCAAACTGGTTAAGGCTGCCTCAAAGGTTTTTTATAGTCTTAAGGCACATATCTTGATCTAATTAGGGGCACATGGGGTTTTCCTTTCTCTTGTAAATTAGTAGAGCTTGAGTTCTGGCTCATCATCTGGATGATCAGACTTAGAAAAGAGAACAAAAGAAAGTTGAAGATTTGGAAATCCATTTCCTCACATCACTCTTGACTCTACTTAAGAAGTTACAGGTGCCCCAATTTGAATCTCACTGCTCTGTACTATAGCTAATTCAGCCTGTTAGCACTAGTGAATGTGCTGAACATATTCTTGACTTCATGGTTCATTGATGGTGTCTGTTTGGCCAAATGTTCCGTTTCCCTACTAATTCTGACAAACAGGTTCAGGGATACATCACCTCTTCTCTGAAGAAGTGTAAGCTCCCTTAACCCCCAGTGGTTTGGCTCTACCTTCTGTACTCCATTGTACCTCATACCAAGCGCTTCTAACCTTACCATAAGTTGGTCATATCTCTTTTCCTTTGGGCTATTGGGTACACATGGACAAGTCCTGCCTTTTTCATCATTAACAGATACCTGTACATTATCTGGCACAGAGAGGGTCAAGCCTAGTAATGAGCAAATGATTTGAGCAGTAGCATATTCTATTTGAGGTTTATAGTTTCATTAATGTTTGTATAAAAAGATGTTTTATGGAATCTGGTATTATATTTTAGAAAAATAGTATTAGAGTAAGTGATACTTAATAAGGTGGTTATGCTTTAGAGGCTGCATGTTTTCATCCTGCTTCTCTACATTTACCATTTTCATCTTAACTTTCTTTTTAAGGGATGGCATACATGTAGCAGTGAAAATCGTTAAAAATGTAGGTCGATACCGTGAAGCAGCTCGTTCAGAAATCCAAGTATTGGAGCATTTAAATACTACTGACCCCAACAGTGTTTTGTAAGTATAAACATGAAGTATGATCCATCATGTTACATAAAATAATCAGAATTCTGTGAACTGAATTATTTTTATTTTTATCTATTTTAGCCGTTGCGTCCAGATGCTAGAATGGTTTGATCACCATGGTCATGTTTGTATTGTATTTGAATTGCTGGGACTTAGTACCTATGATTTCATTAAAGAAAATAGCTTTCTACCATTTCAAATTGACCACATCAGGCAGATGGCTTATCAGATCTGCCAATCAATAAATTGTAAGTATACTTGATAAATCCTTAAAACATCAGAATTTTTTTAAAATATTTTTATTGTTTTCAGAGAGGAAGGGAGAGGGAAAGAGATAGGAACATCAATGATGAGAGAGAATCATTGATTGGCTGCCTCCTGCATGCCCCCTACTGGGGATTGACCCTGCAACCCAGGCATGTGCCCTTGACTGGAATCGAACCTGGGACCCATCAGTCCGCAGGCCGACGCTCTATCCACTGAGCCAAACTGCCTAGGGCTAAACATCAGAATTTTAAAGTTTTTGTTACACAAGCAGTCACTAAAACTGCGTATTGTTAAGATAAAACCCTTCTTGACCCCTGTATCCACTACTAATTCTTTTTTTTTAAAATTTTTTTTTTAAAACACATTTTATTGAGTTTTTACAGAGAGGAAAGGAGAGAGATAGAGAGTTAGAAACATCGATGAGAGAGAATCATCGACCAGCTGCCTCCTGCACACTCCCCACTGGGGATGTGCCCGCAACCAAGGTATATGCCCTTGACCGGAATCGAACCCGGGACCCTTCAGTCCGCAAGCCGATGCTCTATCCACTGAGCCAAACCGGTTTCGGCATTCTTTTTTCTCCCCGATACAGATTAAATTTGTAAGTGAAACTAATAATGTGTTTTTATTCTCTTGTAGTTTTGCATCATAATAAGTTAACTCATACAGATCTGAAGCCTGAAAATATTTTATTTGTGAAGTCTGACTATGTAGTCAAATATAATTCTAAAATGGTAAGTTAAAACTTGTTTTAATTTTAGTGGTTCTTTTAAAAATAATTTAGCTTGTTGATTATTGGATGAGGAATTTCACTTCTGAGGCTTATTCTTATATTATCCCGAAAAACATATCTTTCTTCGCCTTTCTCATGGGGCTATGTTTAAATTCCAAAAAGATAATGCAAGCCTTTTGTATGGTTCTAATAAAAAATTTCATATCTTTATTAATCTTCATGTTTACTCAACTGTCTCTCTCTAGAAACGTGATGAACGCACACTGAAAAACACGGATATCAAAGTTGTTGACTTTGGAAGTGCAACATACGATGATGAACATCATAGTACTTTGGTATCTACACGGCATTACAGAGCTCCAGAGGTCATTTTGGGTTAGTAGACACCAGACTTCCTGATACTGTAATTGAAGAAGAGGTTTTTGTTCTTTAAGCTTTGCCAGGGGGTGGGGTGATGCACTATACAGGAAATGCTTTGCTATTTTCATAAAAAGAATCGAAGTTACTGTAAATATTTTTCCTAAGTGGGAAAAATATGACCATGTGTGAAGACACTTCAGGTGGTGGTTATTTTTTAGCAAGTTAATCCTCTGAGATTATAAGGACAGGCTGTATTGGCTAAGTACATCACAGCAATGTGATTTTGAAGTGATATATCTATTTTTGTTTCATCAAAGCATGGTGCTGGTAAAAATGCTAATTTGGTTAGCAGACATGAAGGAAAGTCAAGAGGAAAAGAAAGAGCTAGCATAAAAGAGAGCTTCTTTGAAAGCCTTTCACATGATAAAGGCTGGAAAATAAAATGAGTTAAGGAGCCGGTTTAAAGTAATGGAATTCAGTAAGGGAGTATGCATCAAAATGGAAAAGTTAGAGACCAGGTTATGCTAATAGAACTGGGAAGTCAGGGATGTGTTTGGGGGCTTGGAGATAGTGGGGAAAGTTCAGATCAGGTGCTTTGGGGAGTTACTTAAATGGAATAAGTTTATAACTTGGCCATAAGTAAGGTCCAACTGAGGTTAGATAGTAAAATATTTTTTAGAGCTCAGAAGGGGGTAAATTCCTGGACTTTATCAATTTAAATTCAGAATTTTCCCCATATTAAAATGTGGGGAGGACGCAAAACAATTGACATTTCTTTGTTATTGGTATGTACAACAGTGGTGTGTCTTACACTTAATGGCCGCCTAGCTTGGATAAAATAGAGTAGTTTTCAGTAATAATGACGTTCCAAGTGTGGCCAGGATAGGGATAGTTGGTATAAATTCGAAATTGTATTTACTGACCTTGACAAAAGAGACCACATTGGGAGATTAGAAGGGTCCTCTATGTGTTTGTGGAGTGTTTATCCTGAGGCAGAATTAGGTAGGAGAGGAAGATGTAGTCAGGTGACACAATTGAGGTCCGTTAATCTCAGGTTTGGGGTGTTTGGTAATAAATTTGAGAGAGATTAGTGAAAGAGAATGTTGTAGAATTCCAAAGAGTATGAGAACTGACACATCAGAATGGGATGATTTAGAGCAGTGTGCTGCAGTCACAGTCACCTGGGGTAAAAAACTTTCATCTTAAGTCCAAGCTCTCTTATTTGCAGATGTATGGGCATATAAGTAGAAATCATGCTCCATTATCCATTTCTTCAAGTGATAAGCATTGTCAGGGTTAACAAAAATGATTAAATCATAGTCAAGGCCCTTGAATGTATTATTTCTCTTCCTTTACCTTTAAATTCAGTGATATTACTAAAAGTACTTGAAATGTCTTTTAAAGTAGGTTTTACTTATACATTGTTTACTAATTATTTGATCTTTAACGGATTAAAATATCTGTATGGCTTATTCTTTTCATCTCCTTTCCAATTAAATATAGACAAGAAGTTTGAGTATTTTCTTTCCAAAATAGTATTGCCATTTGAGAATCCTGAAGGAGAAAGTATATGTGATCATTTATAGACAGCTTGAAAGTACATATATAGGTCCCTCTCTGTGTGAACTTTAAATGACTTGATATATATAATCCTGATTATAGGTGAAACTGCATATAATATTCATTATGATTTGTATATAATTTATGTCAAACTATACTATTTCTTTAATGGAAGAAGTAAACTCAGGTATCAAGCTTATGATAATTGATAAGGGCTTAATAATTGTATTCTGAGGATAAATATCGAATTATACTTGCATTAATAAAATGTAAAATTTCCTGGAACAACCATAAACTGGTGTAATAGTACTCCCATTGCACAAGCAATTCAGAGATTATGGAATATTTCCACAACTTGGTAATTATACTTGGGAAATATTTTCTAGTTCCTCTCATATTAAATGCCCTTCCTCCAGGTTAAATGCTATAATTTGATATCAGGATATGGAGGACTAAGAACATACAGAATAGTATTTGATATAAAATTTAAAATGTAGCCTTGGCCATTGTGGTTCAGTTGTTTGGAATGTTGTTCCGTGCACCGAAGAATCATGGGTTTAGTTTCTGGCAAGGGCACATACCCAGGTTCCGGGTTCGAGCCCTGTCGGGTGGCGTATGGGAGGCAAGTCATTGATAACTCTCACATCGATGTTTCTCCCTCCCTTTCCCCCTCCTCACTCCACCTTCTATCTCTCTAAAATCAATAAAAACATGTCTTCGGGTGAGGACTAAAAAATAAAACTCAAAATATAAACCCTGAACTTACTGTCATATTCTCCCAAAGGAGCTATATAAAGAGAGTACCCATCTACAGAAGGATCTAGTAAATTGGCAATTAAAAATTATTACATAATAAAATTTTTGTTTTTGTTTTTAAATAGCTTTAGGTTGGTCTCAGCCTTGTGATGTTTGGAGCATAGGTTGCATTCTTATTGAATATTACCTTGGTTTCACGGTCTTTCAGGTATGTATTTAATGAATATTGTTAAGTTTTAAAAGCATGTAAAATTTTGCTTCCATGTGAAAAGTTGCCATAGTGCCATTCTTAAGATTAAAACTTATATATGCAAAATGGTTATCCTTCTCTAAAACCATAGTTGAATGAAAAACTACTCTTAGTGAATGGTCAGTTCATTTTACATATTATTGGAATTTTTAACCCATGTTCATACTGTCTTATGTTTCCATTTTTTGTTACAGATAATCATAAATTTATATTAGTGCTACTGTGGCCAGTTTTAATTCAGTTCTGGTTGCATTGACTAACCTATGGCTTTATTTTTTCTTAAAAAATATATATATTTATTGATTTCAGACAGAAAGGGAGAGGGAGAGAAACATCACTGGTGAGAGAGAATCATTGATCGGCTGCTTCCTGCACACCCCACACTGGGGATCAAGCTTAAAACCTGGGCATGTGCCCTGATTGGGAATTAAACAATGACCTCCCGGTTCATAGGTCAGCGCTCAACCACTGAGCCATGCCAGGCAACAAGGTACTTTTTTATATAAAAGAATTCTGGAATAATAGTTGTATTTTATTAAGCATCTGTTACACTCTTGGCTTCATAAAGATAAAAGACAATATCTATTCTAGGAAATCATACAAAAGAGAGACATGAGGAAACTTACAGTATAATGTGGTATTTGCTGTAATGGATCAATGTAGAAAGTCTAGTTGGATCCAGGAAAAGGGAACAGTTAAATTTTCTTAGAGAAGGCATCACTAAAGGAGTAGGGAGTTTAAGTCATTGTTAGAGGAAGTGTAGGAGTTTGTCAGAAAACTAGAGTGTGAGGGTCGTGTCAGGAAAAGAAATAGTATCTTTTTTATTATTTTTTTAAATGTTTTTAAACAGGCAGGGAGGGAGAGAGATAGAAACATCAGTGATGAGAAAGAATCATGGATCTGTTGCCTCCACACCCCCTGCTGAGGATTGGGCCCACAATCCGGGCATGTGGCCTGATCAGGAATCAAACCGTGACCTCCTGGTTCATGGGTTGACACTCAACCACTGAGGCATACTGGCCAGGCAAAGAAATAGTATCTTAAATGGGTACTGGTTTAAAGGAATATATTCTTGTGAGGGAAGAATAAATGGTGCATCAGTCTTGCATAAATAGAAAAATTGTGACAGTAGGCAAGGACTGATTGATTCATAATGGATTTATTCTCCATAAAAAGGTATTTGTTTTATCTTAGAAGTTAGCAGTGATTCTCAACCTTCCTAATGCCGCGACCCTTGAATCCAGTTCCTCATGTTGTGGTGATCCCCAACCATAACATTATTTTCGTTGCTACTTCATAATTGTAATTTTGCTACTGTTATGAATCGTAATGTAAATATCTGATATGCTATATGTGTTTTCCGATTGTCGCAACCCACAGGTTGAGAACCACTGATTAGTGATTTACAAATGTAGACTGGTCTAAAATGAAAATGATTTTGAGATTGCCATTTGGCCTTTATTTGGAGATTACTACCAAAAAAGCCCAGGAGGGATAATGTATCCCTTTTATGAAAACTTTTGCTTGTTTAAGTTGTGATGTGGTCAGGGTGTTAGGGCGTTCTGTTTTGTGGTTGTGGGGAGGGGAAGGGAGTTCACGAGATTCTGGCTCATAAATAAGGTTGAAGTTACATCAAATAGGTGAGGAGAAGCTATGATGAGTTTAGACTTGGGTAGCTATTGCAGGGTGTATGTGCTCACTGCTTCTGTTTAATCCATAGAGATACTATTAAAATTACTCTGAGTTTATAGACAAGTTTGATATCTAGAATCATGGTTATTGGTTGGTTCAAGGCGGTAGTGTCTGGTTTTATGGTAATAAATGATAGGGTCAAGAAAAAGTTAAGCAGAATACATGCTGTCTTTGTAATGAGTTTGTAATTTAAATTACAGAGAGGTCTTAAGTGCAGATTATTTTTTTTTAATTAAATCTTTATTGTTCAGATTATTACATTCGTTCCTCTTTTTTCCCCCCACAACTCCCCTCCACCCAGTTCCCACCCCACCCTCCGCCCTCACTCCCCACCCACTGTCCTCATTCATAGGTGCACGATTTTTATCCAGAGCACTTTATCTGACCTTCAATTCTAAATGATAGTTTTGCTGGGTAGAGTAATCTTGGTTGTAGGTTCTTGCTATTCATCACTTTGAATATTTCTTGCCACTCCCTTCTGGCGTGCATAGTTTCTGTTGAGAAATCAGCTGACAGTCGTATGGGTACTCCCTTGTAGGTAACTGACTTTCTTTCTCTTGCTGCTTTTAAGAGTCTCTCTTTGTCTTTTGCTCTTGGCATTTTAATTATGTTGTGTCTTGGTGTAGTCCTCTTTGGATTCCTTTCGTTTGGGGTTCTCTGAAGTGCAGATTATTAACATTGGTTTGAGATAAGGTTTATATTCGATTTCACCCTACAACATACTCTTCAACTAAGGAACTTGATTAAAATGTGGAGCCATTATGTTTATTCCTGTCTTAAATTAAGTACTTAATGTTTTGAAAGCAGTGTGCCAGGCACAACAGTTGATAGATTTTAAAAAAGCATTACACACCACCTCTGCTTTCAGAACAAGGGTTGGCAAACTATATCCTGCCTGATGCCTTCTTTAAAACACAAAAAAGAATATGCAATTGTGACCATCCACACCTAAAATATTTACTATGTGGTCTGTTACAGGAAAAGTTTGCCAATTTCTGCTCTAGAAACATCACATTTTAACTGTGACATTTTTCTCTGTACTACTTCAGTAAGAGCTCTGCTAATGTATACTTTAAGAATGAGTTTTGACTTGGGTGCATAGCTCAACTTTCCTCATTTCTGAGCTCTGTGACTTTGAGCTAGTATGTTTACCTCTTTGAAATTCATATTCCCATATACCTAGCTCAGGATTGATTTGAGAATTATTGGGACTATATTTTTATTGCCTAGTATTAGTAAGTGTTAATATGTTGCTATTCATTGGGTAATGGAGGTTAATTTTGGTTAAGCAACTGCTTAAATTAAGGACACAGATTTTTTGATAATGTTCCCCAGTAATTCCTCAGTTAAAAACAGTGCAGGAGATACAAATAAATAAGAAAACTGATCAATTTACTTTAAACAAATTATGCCTCTCTGCAATACAGAGCCATACAGGTTCATTTCAGAAAGACTGTTTTATTGGGTTTGCACCAGATAATACAACTCTTTTGGTATTGTTCCCTATTTGAAGGAGAGTGTAATGTAAATTGTATAAACTCTAATTTAGTCCTTTTATGTCAGTACTATTTTCTTATGGTTTTCTTTCTTGTGTATACACAGAAATGAAAAATGCTAAATTTTTTCCCCTACGTTTTTCAGACTCATGACAGTAAAGAGCACCTGGCAATGATGGAAAGAATATTAGGACCTATACCAACACACATGATTCAGAAAACAAGGTATGCTTTAAGATTAAAGACCTTTGTTGAGTACATGCAATAGCCTATATTCAAACTACAGAAAAACTCAACTTCATGGTTATTGCTTTTTCCAAGGATTGCATATTTTGAAGTTTTCATAAAGTTTTTAAAAAGTAATGACATTATTTACCTGTGATCTAGTAAACAAAGTGGTGGTTTTGACACTGAAGATTACCTCTGCATAATTGTTTTCCTAACTTTATATACAAACAATAAATAGAGTAGTAAAAAGAGCCTCATTTTGGAGTCATAGCAATCTGTTAGAATTCTATACTGGTGCTAAGTCAGCTATATGTCCTTACACAAGGCACTATAGTGAGTTTCAAACACAGCTGCACCTCAGAGGTCATCCATGGAGTTCTTCAAAGATTTCCAGCCCCACTTCAACACGGAAATCAGAATTTATAAGAATGGATCCAGAGGCTTCTGTTTTTAAAGCTGATGGTGTTCTCTGTGTACAAGATTACGGAAGTATTCTATGAGCTGTCTGATACATAATTATTGTAAAGATTTTAAGAAATATATACATTGAGATGCTTATACTTTCATCTGTTCTGGTGTAGGCAGGATAAACATGGGGGTCTTTTGTTATTTTTACTAATCCAGATTTCTTCCTATAGAAAACGCAAGTATTTTCACCATAACCAGCTAGATTGGGATGAACATAGTTCTGCTGGTAGATACGTTAGGAGACGCTGCAAACCATTAAAGGTAAAAGAAAAAATGATTTAAAAGTTTAAAAAATGCTTCAGCTATTTTTAAATATCTTTCTAAAATAAAAACATTTTTCCCTCCACAGGAATTTATGCTTTGTCATGATGAAGAACACGAGAAACTGTTTGACCTGGTTCGAAGAATGTTAGAGTATGATCCAGTGAAAAGAATTACCTTAGACGAAGCATTGCAGCATCCCTTTTTTGACTTATTAAAAAACAAATGAAATGGAAATCAGTGGTCTTAACTGTATACTTCTCTAGCAGAGATTACTTAAGACTGTGTCTGTCAACTCTAAACATTCTAATATTTTTGTAAGCATTAAATTATTTTGTACAGTTAAGTGTAAATACACTATGTTTTGTATCAATAGCATAATTATCTTGTTAAGCAAGTATGGTCTTGATAGTGAATGAAATATAAAAGTTAATTTTTCTTTTTGAGATTAACATTTTTAAAGACCTTTGACTATCTTTTGTGTCCAGTGATAAATGTGATTGATCTTATCTTTTATACATGGAGGCAGGCTTTTAAAGTTTTGTTTTGTGTGTGTGTGTTGTTGTTTTTTTTGAGTAAAAGGAAATCTTGACTACTTAATTCTTAATGAATGAATATTCTTTACCTCAAATTCGGAACTTTTCTTATATTTAAAAGTTTTTCTTGTATTTTTCAACAAGTAATAAGTATTAATTACTCTATGTAGCCAGGTATTGGAAATCAGAACCCATAGGAAATGTTTATTCTTGGCATTTTATTGTAAGTATTGTGTTTTGTCTTCGTGGGAGATGTTAGTAGTATTAAACCATCCAGTTTGTCTATTATGATAGGTTTTAAAAAAAAACCACATACATACTTCCTCTAAGATTAAAATCTTAACTAGAAAGTCAGCTTGAAAGTCCTGTTTTCCAGTAGCTGTTTAGTGAGTCACAAACATAGAAACCAGAATTCTAATGACTAAGGTGCTAGTTTTTAATGCCAAATCTTGAGGAGTCTTGAAAATGTCTCACATCTGTTTCCTTATCAAATGAGGTAAATATTTAAACCTCAGCCTATGAGAATTGAGGTTATTATTAAGCAATATATAGTTGTGTTGATCTCTACTAGAGAAAAGGAATTATTTGATTAGAAAACATTTGGAGAAGAAATGCAGAAATTTCTAGACCCTGATGGTGGTTTAACATGGTGAACTTTTTATTTGACTATAGGTATTTTTTCTTACTATTACCTGTTTCCACATTAAAACTACATGGTAAACGTTACTTAATTTAGTAAAACTAAAACTATTGGTTCTGTTCAGTCTGCCAGATAGAAATATTTTTGTTGTAGAATTTATAATTGATTGTTGAGATGCAGGTTGTTTTTTGTTAAAAGTATCCCCATTTTGTAAGTGTGTTACACAGAGATTGGAGTTTCACCTGTTTGTATATTTTAAACAAAATGCATGGAATTTTCTTGTATGACAAATACTGAAACAGGGCTTGGTTCCCTACATTATTCACAGGGGGCATTTGCCAGTATAATAAGGCTATGTTCTTAAAGTTGACTAGGCATTTAAGAAAGCTGAAATAAATTTTACTACGAAATCACTCCATAAATTATGTTTAGGCCTCTGATGCCATCTACATATAATGAATGTAGATGCATTGAATAGTTGCATTGTATTATATGTGATAAGGTTTTTCTTAAAGGAACATTAGATGTAACGAAAAGATCTTTCCTGAATGTAGCAGTGTTGATACAGGGATCAATAGATGCCTGCCATCCTTTGTTTTCCCCTTCATTGTCGTTCTGCCAGTGCCCCTGTACTAGCTAAGCTTCTTGTACTATCTAGGCTTGCTCAGTGCTTCAAGTTCCAAAATTAATGTTCACGGCCTCCATCAGAAACTCATTTTCTCAGAGTAGCTGATCTTGGTTGGCATATAGGAAGAAAGAAAAATATCCTTTTTTTTAATTCCTCACCCAAGGATATCTTTATTGGTTTGAGAGAGGAGAGTGAAACATCAATCACTTGCCTCCTTGTATACACCCCAATCCAGGATTGAACCTGCAACTTAGATGTGTACCTTGACCGGAAACTGAACCCCATGACCTTTTTGGTATATGGAATGGCGCCTCAACCAACTGACTCACCCGGCCAGGCCTCCAGATTATTTCTCACTAAGTTTATCATTGCTAACCCCTTTTCCCTTCTGAAAAGTACTTAGATTCTTCACAAATGGGATTTGCTAATTCTTAGCCTAATTCCTAGAATTTTAGGATTTAAAGTGAAACACCAATAAGTTATGTAGGATGGAAGAAATTATTAGTGGTTAGTGTGGTACCCCTGGGATCATAATCTGAGTGTCTGCTGCCAGCTCTCCTCCCCTTCTTCTTTGAGCTCAGGTCCCTACATATAATATATATATATATATATATATCGGCACAGGCAGCATGTAAAACAGTCCATTTAAAGGACACGGTAGTCAGAGGGACCCACAATCTCAATGTGTAAGTGCTATACAGAATCACTGGAAATAAAAAAGATGGAGAAAACTATACATAATAGAAATATGTGGCCCTGGCCAGTGTTGTTTATTAAAATTGATTTCAGAGAGGAAGCGGGGGAGAGAGAAACATCAGTGATGAGAATCATTGATCAGCTGTCTCCTGCACATCCCCTATTGAGGATGGAGCACACATCTGCCCTGATCAGGAATCAAACCGTGATCTCCTGGTACATAGGTCAACACTCAACCACTGAGCCATGCTAGCCAGGTGGGTCATTTATCTTTAGAGAATTTCCCATATTCAATATTTCATCACAGTGGTATCTATCCCTCTCTTCCTATTTATTCTGTGAACTGATAGGTAAGGAGAGGAAGTTTTTTTATAGAATTCCTTCTAATAAAAAAGGGATGTTAGAAATACACGATGTTGCAATTCAAAAATGGATCCAGACAACAGTCAATGAATGGAAGAGCCTTGGGTGAAAAATTCATGGAGGGCTTTGTCATAGAAGCTGATAACATTTAACCACGGTATTCAATCTGAACCTCAGATTGACAACCTGGCTGAGGTTATACACACCTGTGAGAGATTGTCTTTTAAAAAAAAGAAAACCTGGATTTTTAAAAAGCCTCTAGTTGAAGTAAGCATCCATCCATTTTTTTGTTTTATGTCTCTTACCTATCACTAATCCTTGATGTATCAATTCAGTGAATTTAGAGCTCAGGCTTACTGGCATGGTTCCAACTTTATCCCAGTTCCGTATGTTTAGGGAAAAGCATGTTACTTCCTTACTTGGAATTACTTAATATCTGTGTTATAGGGTGATTAAAAAGGGCAAGTAGATTACCTGGTGTTTAGTAGTCCCACTAATAAAAGGTACATTGCTTCTCGGCCTTTTGACTAAGATCAAGTGTACATATCTTGTCAGTTTAACATATGTCCTCTATCCAAGGACAACATATTAAGTGGTTTTTTAGAGCAGGGAGACGGTGTGTTGACCTGGCAGTACAGTGCCTTTGGAGAACAATGCTCCCCCCCACACCCCCCAAAAAATTAGGTATTTTGTTTTATATAAGTGCTTTGACTCAGTTGTTAATTGTCCTTTGTGGCACAGGGAATTACTATACTATCAATTATATTTTTGGCCCCTGTCATTGTAGTTTTTGTGACATTTTACTGAAACGAAGTGAGGGATAGAATTTTAAAAGAAATTTGGTTTTTTCCCAATCAAGGATATCTGCTATTCAGATAACATTTTCTTATATTTGCTCCTCTCCTAATTTTAGTTTGGTTTTAAATGTTATAATTCTGGGGCAAAATCTACATAATTAACAGAAGTAATTATGAAGCCTTGAAATCACCCTAAATATCCTTTGAGGAAGATATCTCATAAGCCTAGTTCTTTCAGCTACTGTGACCAGCAGTTCCATGCAATGAATTGAAAATTAATTGTAGATATGCAGGAATTCCCAGTGAATTAAAGTTTTCCATTATAAATAATGCAAGTTCAGTGTTTTAACTTTAAAAGCTGCTGGCACATGGCAAGTACAGTTTTGAGAATGCATGACAAGAACAGTCCTAAATGATACTTAGTGTCATTGATAGAGTTTAATATTAAATAATATTTCTTTTTACTTTATATTTTTCAAATTACAAACATTTAAATTACTTTGTGTGTCCTCATAATTGTACAGAGTAATGTTGGTGTGAAGATGCTTGCCTACAGAGTCAGATTGCAATCAAACCTTGATACTACCTCTATAGGTAGACAAGATACATATTCTCTAGTCTCATCTATGAGTTGGAATACTAATACCTAACTTCCCAAGGGTGGTGGTGAGGATTAAATGAAATAATTTACATAAAGTGCTGGTATATAGTAGCTATTGTTTTCACAGTTTATTTCCTATATTGATTTATATAAAATTCTACAGTCTGCAAATTATATTTCTATACTTTGGGTTTTAGTCCCATAGGAACCATATGAAATGAGCACAAATAGATATTGTCTGATTTTAATATTAGCATAGTACATCTTTTTCCATCCTTTTTTTTTTGTATGTGTGATATATATATATATAATTTTTTTAACTGATTTCAGAGAGGAAGGGAGAAACATCAATGGTGAGAGAATCATTGATCGGCTGCCTCCTGCCCACTGCCCAGTGGGATTAAGCCCAAATCCCGGGCATGTGCCCTGACTGGGAACTCTAACCTCCTGGTTGATGAGCCTCGCTGGCCAGGCAAAGATGGCATTTTTAGAATCTTGCCTCTTAATGCCCTGAGTTGGCACTTCATGTGTGCTTTCAAAAGACAGTCCAGTATACTGAGGCTGGCTGCTGCAGGATGTAATACAACCAGTGAATCCCATGGTCATGGACTCACTCCCACAGCTACTTTGCTGTATAGTAAGTCCCTTAGTCGAGTGCTATTGTATGAGACTTCATACCTGTGGACCAGGCTGTCTAACGATAGTGGTGCCAGCTGAAACTCTGCAGACAGGAAAGACAAGCCCACACCTGAAATAGCTACCCATCCTTGTGAGGTGTTGGCAAACTGCTGGACTTTCTTGGATGGAGAAAGTCCAGAGTGGTTAATTTCCCACCAAGTGGTTTGCTGGTCACCCTGAAGATGAGTGCCTCTTGCCGACAGGTTAGCCATTCAGAGACAGCAGTAGCTAGAGTGACCTTGGCAGGTGCTACATACACAGATCTGTAGAGAGCCCTACATCCCCAGGGCTCTGTGCCATTGGGGGGCTGACCTCTGCACTGCATAATCTCGGCTTGCTTATCCCGTGGGTTTGGTCAGTGCAAGGCCAACAGATCAGAAAGCAGGAGAGGAGTATTTATATCCCAGCTCCCAACTTAACGAACTATGGCTTTGAAGTAATCATATCCCTTGACCAAAGGCCACAGCTCCTGTTTAGCAGATCACAAAGTTCCCACAACACTTCACTCCCCTGGGCCCTTCAGCTAGGGGCGGTAATGGCCTCCCACTGTGGATACCTCAGGGTGCTTCATCAGCATCCCCTGTTGGCTTCCCTTAGTCTGCCCCACTTTGTAAAGAGTCTCTGTGTTTAGACTGTCTTCAGCTGTCTGTTCTTTCCAG